CTCTCTCTCTCTCTCTCTCTCGTTGGATTTGTGTGAGTCGCTGGCACGACGCTCCGGGGGTGTCGAGTGTCGGTGGCTACCTTATCCCACCGGACAGCCTGTCAAGCTTCGTTATCATCTTACACGCACGCTACGCCCGTAACGACGATATATCTAACCTCCGTCGATGGACATTCCAACGAACCTCCGCGTTATGATTCACCCTTTCTCTCTTGTGATCGATCCTTGCTCTTCGAGCCTACTTCTTCAGTCGAAAAACTACCCACGACTTCTCGGTCGATTCTTTCGATTATCGTAAGGTAATATACATATGTGCAGATTGGATTATTTTTTTAATTAGATTCGATCGGTCTCGCTACTTCTTGACGCACTTGACTCCAAACTTTTCGTTTGATCCTTTCCAATCATTGAAAGTGTAAATTTGGTAATACGTATATTTAATTGTTTTTTTTTTTTTTTTTTTTTTTTTTGTTGGCTAAGTCTATCCGTGAAGATTGGATTAGGATCTTTGATCTTTCTGAAGCTCGCTCGTTTGAGTCCTTTCAGGTGATTTAAATGTAGACTTTTTAGTAGAAATATAGATATAATTATTCTTCTAATTTATCCTTAGGAGTTTCCAATTAGTACAATTTGGCAACGATATATAGATTTAATTATTTTTCCAATCTGCTAGAACAAAGTTTTAGATTTTTGATCAAATCCTGATTGATTCTTTAATAGAACTTTAGTAGGTTGATCCTTCAAGTTGTCGCCTTCTTTACGACTCGGTGATGTTAATTCGATAGTGAGTCACCAGCATTGTTTTCGGATGGAGAACTTCGATTCCATCCGCGTTAACATAACATGTATGTTCGATTTCAAACTTCTGAACAGTTGTTACAGACCTATTTGAATCAAAGTGGACTCACCTAATACAGGCACAGCCTAGACGAGCTATGCTCTCCGTGGGTTGGACCACGCATTCCGCCATCACTAGCAACAATTGCTTCAACATCAGCGTCGTGGCTGGTAAATAGGCGTCGTTTCTGACAACCTCGGGTCCTGAAATTTACAAATCCAAACTATAATTTTATCCCTCTTTGTACCAAGTGTCACGCGTTTTATCATTAATCCTCTTTCGTCTTTTGGAAATTTTCTAACGACAGACAAACGAAATGAAAAGCGACAGCGTCAACTTTCACCCTTGTTCAATTACCTTGCAAATGAGTTAAATAATCAACAACCAAATCCGTGGTGAGTCCGCAGCACTGCTTAAAATTCGGCGCGAAATTGTCCCATCCTCTAAAGATCTTCGAGGTCCTCCTCAACCAATTCTGCACCATAGGCAAAAGCAGATGATTCACGCAGTACAGACCAAAGGTTGGCCCGGGCACGTTCAACGTGTCTCTCAGCAAATGAAACAAGGTTTCCAACGTGTGTGGTTGGTAACGTTTAGGGCAGATCATGGTAGCGCTTGCCAGGCCCTCGATCAGAATGTACCAGACTCGCAAGATCCCGCTCGGCTTGTCCATGCTTTGCAACGTCGTAATTGTATGAACATTGTCCATTAATATATCGTGCGACTTCTCAGGCATCGTCTCCTGCATCGACTCAACGTGTTTGTCGAACCTGATCAACTCGGAGTTGGGTATCGTAGGATCGACGTACTGAGGAATGGTGGAGACCTGGATTCTCTGGGCTGAATGGAAGATCGGGCAAGCCGGCATGCCGTACATCGACGCGAGAATATCGCTGCAGCTCAGAAGATATTTCAGGCTCTCGACGCAGAGTCTCATTTTACGGGATTCCACGATGTCGACTTGATCCTGGTCATCTTGGTGACTCTCCGTGTCACCGATGCCTCGCACGTGTTTCAGAAGGCATAGAATGCAATCTAGCGCTGCATTGGCGAATACGAGCGTGTTGTCCGTGGAGAGAAAGACCCTGAAGACTTCCAAGAGTGGCGCAGACTCCACGGAATCTGAGTTGCCGACTGAAGCTACGCGTAGCGCTCCGAAAAGTGGACGCCAACCTGATCGAATCTCGGTTCTATTGGTCTCTACGAACTCGCAGATGCAACTGACAATCTGGAAGGAATTTGTAATCTTTTTGGCGGTCGATTCAACCCATTCGACGGTGTAATTGGATGACAGGAAGAATTTATAATGAATTATTTCGGATTAAGTTCAATTAATTAATTTAATCACTCGACAGTGAACAATTTGGAACAAGTGACTTAGAAAATATTTATTTAATATTCTTCGGAATTTATACAAGTACGGAAATTTTATGGTTTCACTTTTTATAGAAAACAAGTTAATAAATAAATTAAGGTAGTATGATAAGTTTTTATACGCGTTAAGTATGATAAAATTTCGATTAGATACTATATCTTTTCGAATACAAAAATATTTTGTAGTACTGTATTCAAATCTCTGTCGAGCAATAGTATGAGAAAGGTTAAAGGTAAAGAATAAAGATAGAGAAAGACTCACTTGATCTTGAACGTCACTGTCGCAAAGTTCCAGGCACAATAGATTCTCGAAAGGTTTGAAGAGAGCCTCGTTGAAGTGGAAGTGAGGTAATTCCACTTGTTCGTTCAGTAAAGCTGCCATCGAATCATGAATACATTGTACTGCTTTTTTCGAAATGCCACGGTCCTTGTGACAAGCTGCCTCCATAAAGTGTGGCCCTAGGATACTCCAAATCTATATATAATATTACGAAAAAAATATTTTGATAGGTTCGTATGAAATTGATAAATCTGCTGCTATATCTGAATTCTTTGTTCCTTAGACTTACTTCAGTTTTACTAAAAGTTAAACAAAAGCTTCGAAAATAATTTGGAAAAGTTCATATACAATATTCAAACCTCCGGAATTGAAATAGTCTCAATAATTAAATTCAATTGAAGATTTAAGCAGAGATTAATTTAGACAAAAATGCACAGTTCAGTTTATAAAGTAAAAATTAAGAAACTCTCAAAGGAGAAAGAGATTTAATTCCATCAAGAACACAGCTCTTAAATTTCTCTCACCCTCATTATATGAATCAGAGGTCGTCCACTCTTCACACACTTTAGCATAACTTCCCCCAATCGAGCCAAAAGCAACACGTTCATTTCATTCTCTCTGGGTTTGCTTCTTCTCCACCAGAACCTCTTATTGTCTTTGAATCCATCCGTGGTTTTGAATAACTGTGCCTTACTGGCTTTGCAAAGGGCAGTCAGAAATAAGCACAACGCTTTAAGGTTCAGTTTCAATGCAGCGTTTTCGAATAGTCTGTCGACTTGTTGCGATAGGACGCAGATTATTTTTGCAGCATAGTCAGCTGGAAGTATTCCATTAAATTGACTGTCCGCATTCGATTCTTGGATTATTTCTGGAATTGTATCTGTACTGGAGTTGTGTGTATATGGACTGGATAGGAAACTGTAGACATCCACACTGAAATAACAAATTTTGTTCCAACTTTTGATGAACTTTGCTTCAGTAGATGACGGATAATTGAAATTTCAGATTTAACTGATTTGTTGAGAATCAAAATTTCGTATATAGTTTTACCAAGTTTCTTCTTCTTCGGTGATGTTGAAATTAAGTTTCAATCGATCTTGGCTTCCCTTCGGATCTCCATTTGAACTATCCTTCTTTTCTTTCTTTTGTTGGGCTTTAGGCAACGATGGATTCTGATTTCTTCCAAAGAAATCGTGCTCCAGTTTGCTCACATACAAGCAACACCTTTTTTAAAATAATCAGAATTAATTAATAAATAAAACAGTCAAT